CCCGATGACACATATACGTATGAGAATATACCTTATTTATTTTTGTGGAGGTGATCTGCCTTCACAAACGTCAGTGTCTACTCCTAGAAGAACCAAATACCTCAATTTTTGTGTTTGAGTACTGTAATGCCTGTAAATATATCCTAAGCAGGTTTGTTTTCAGCACTGATGGAAAGCACCAGTGTTGGGTTTTTTTAGTTGCCAACAGTTGTATGTTTGCTGATTATTTATGACCTGAAATAATATATTTCTTCTTCTAAGAAGACATTTTGTTACACAAGGATGACTTTTTTATACTACAGAATAAATTATGGCATTTCTATTGAAATCACAATTCTTTACTTCTTGGGCAGCCCCACCTGATCCCTCTTCCACTAGTGAAATAGAGAATCCAGACAAGGACCTCCAGAATGTGTGCTGGGATCTGATCCCAGACTCCTTGGTGGCTCCAGGATGGCTGGGTTGCCACGGAGGTAGAGAAGTGTGATCTGTGGACTATCTTGAAAAACCCAGTGTCCACTCATGCCCTTTTAAACAGCTGTATCCCCTACCATGTCACCCAGGGAGCCTGTGTCCCCAGAGCCAGAACTAGGAGGAAATAGCCACTTACCTGGATTGCCCCTTTCACTGAATACTTTCCCCAGAATGATATAAAAAATCTCTCTCCCCTCAGAGCTGTGCTAGAGTTAATGAGGATGATAGTTTTCCAGAACGCTTGACATAAATGCGTTCCTGCTATGTGCAAGGCAGTGTGTGCCACCCGCCCCCAAAACAATGCAGCAAGATCTTTTACAGATGAAGATGCTGAGACCCAGCACAGCTAGCTGGCGGGAGTGGGGGAATTGGGCCCCACATCTGCTCTGTTTCCTAATTCTATGTGCTTTGCACTCTGTCACTTGCCTCTCACGTGCTCTCTTTTTGCCTTTGAAATATCCTTTATGTTTGTGAAAATAACACCTCGGATGGTTAAAAAAAAGCGCTATGAGCAAATACAAGGTAGACAAATCCCCTGAAATCCCCATCCCAACCTGACAGTTACTAACGTTTTGGAGCCCACCCCTGCTGGCCTCTGTGTGTGTAGACAGCATTTTTGGTATCTGCCTTCTTCAGGTCACTTGCTGCTCTAATTTCATAATTTTGTCGAAGAATATAGGCACTTAAGTCTGTCTTGCTCTAGGGCAATATTCTGGATTTTTACTCTCTCTTGCCAAACAGGCCAAAACAGAGAAGGTGTAATTGACTACCAGCCCAGTCTGTAATGTTGAATTAAATAACAGTGAAGCTTCTTGGTTACTGGCCCCTTAGCTTCTGCACCCCCATGCTTGTTTCTAGACAAAGTGCTGTAGGAAGCAGAAAAGGAAAGGTCTTGACTTCTCTGGGAGTGCCCTGAGCAGTGGTCTTGGTCCAGTCCCGTGGTTCAAGGCCTTGACAAAGGATCTGTGTCCTTAATCTTTCCCCACTGATTCACTGTCTGTCACCTGACTCCCAGGGCCTGAAAGATCCCTGTGTTCTAAGTTCTAAGAACTTACCCTGGGCTGGCAAGCTCATTTCCTCGGCTGGGCTTCCGTTTGCAAGTGCATTCACGCCTTTCAAAGCAAAGCGTACCCGGTGTTTTTATCAAACCCTAGAAATTTACTATTGCAAATATCTCCCTTCGTGGAAATGTACCAGCGACTTCGAGTCCGTGGCAGATGCCATGGCTGACTTCCCCATGGGCTCAGGCCATCACTTTCTGCTTGGCAGGCACTGGCTGAACAAAATTAATCTCCGGTGTAATCTACACAGTGGAAAAATACAGCATCTGCCTCAGGGAGCCGCCAGTGAAAACAATTCACTCACTTCTCCCAGCACGAGCCGCTCCACCTCCGGACAGCCCGGTACAGCCAGGGTGATAACCCTCGTTCCCCATGTATCCCATTCCCTGTCTTCAGGCCCTCCAGAAAAATGTCACTTTTGGCCTGAGACTGCTTAGAGGAAAAAAAAAGGTACTTCATGAGGAAAAGATGGTTGAACTGTTAAAATGTTTGTTTCTCAGTGGGAGGTTGAAATAGAGACAACTCAACATTTAAAACTGATAGTGTGGTAATAATAGCTGTCAACGTTAGACCTGATGCCATGTGCCAGCCACTGTGCTAACTGCTCTCCATATGGTCACATTTAACCTTTAACAGCAGCTCCCATTTTACAGAGGAGGAAACTGAGGCTCAGAGAGGTGAAGCCACAACCCTCTATTTCTAGCCCAGGGTCATACAGCAAGAAAATGGCATTGCAGAGATTGGAACCTGGGTCTGTAAGAAGACTGGGGACTGAAGGCCTCATTCAGTCCAAAAGACAGCTTGAAGGAGTGGGGGAAAAATGAGCTTCGTAGCAGCCAGATGTCACTACGGTTTTACCACATAGTTTTGGGGTGGGAAAGCTATTTTTCCCTTTGGGCCTCAGTTTCCTCATCTGTAAAATGAAGATGATAAAACCTCCTTCACTTGTGAGGAGGAAACGGGCTCATGAATGTAAAATGCCTGGCAGGTCATGGGCCCTGGAGAAACCTTCAGATCCCTTTACCTCTCCTAACAACCTCTAGTGGTTCTCAGGTCTCAGTTTTCCCTCCCATAAAATGACCAGTTTGCACTGCATCTAACGGGTAAAGTTCCTCCCAGCCCTGTAATTCTAGGATGTAGAAAATGCATCAATGCATACTTTATGCTTTTCTGTGGTTTCCAGACACCCATTATTCTATTAGGATACTTCCAACACCAAACATGTCCACCGCATCCTCTCCTTTCCTCGGAATTTTGCAAATCATAGCTAATTTGCCTTGGACCTGCAGCCTCCGGCGTCCGTTTCCCTCCCTCCCTCCCCTGGCCCATCTAGGATGACATCATGGTGTGTACACCTTTAAGATTATATAAATCTGTGATCATACAGTGGCCTCCATCCCCATGGTAACACAGAGGAGTTTCCCTTTTGTGAAGAAAGCTGTCTTGTCACTTCCTGATGCTGACAAATCAGTTTGGGAGATTAAAATAAAGGGGGGGCGGGGTGCGAGAGGCAGCCTCTGAGAACTGCTGGCTGTGGTGGTTTCTGGTTGCCATACACAGAGGCAAACAAAGCTGGGCGATCTGGGGAGCCCCGCCCAGAGCCAGGCCCCAGCTCCCTTTCCCACACCTCACCCAGCTGGTTGGTGGATCCAGGTCACTTCGAGCTGTTTTTCTCTGCAGGTTGCATTCTGGGGAGCAGATGGGAGGGCTGCCCACCTCTGGGGACTTTCCTGGGGCTCTGCAGGGCAAGCCTGTTGGAGATCAGCCTCTGGGTCCAGATGAGCCTCTGCTCTCCCTTTTCTGTTCAGGAGGTGTCTTTCCTCCTGGAGGACAAAGGATACGCGCGTTGCCAGCACCACGGTGGACAAAACTGTGCTGCCGAGGAACATACTGTAAAACCACCTTTTTCTTGACCGTGGCTTTTTAAGCTAAGCAGCAGTTCCGCTCAATCATTCATTCATTCAACAAATGTTTATTGACTCTGTAGGCCTGGGATACTTTGGTACAAGACCAAGTTCTTGCTTTCAGGCGGCTAACAATGGGGGTGGGGGGCATTATCTAAATAAGATAATTAAGAAATAAGATAAGGATGAAGGCTCTGAAGGTGGGATAATAAAAGGGGGGGGGGCTACTTTAGATTTTGGTGGTCAGGGAGACCTCTCTGAGGGGTGGCTAAGCTGAGACCTGAATGACAGCACCCAGCTGCCCCTTTGAGAGGCCAGCTGAGAAGAGGGTTCCGGGCCAGGAGGGCAGCAGAGGTTTGAGAGGGATCTTCCAGGACTGGTGGACAGAGCACTTGACGTGGAGTCAGCTAGACCTGAGTTCAAGTCCTGATTATGCCACTTGTTAGCCCTGTGTCTTACTGTGGGTAAGTTACCAAACTCTTTAAACCTCAATTTCCCATCTGTAATATAGGCCAATAACCTGCGACCTTCAAAGGCTCTTTAAGGGTTAGATGAAAGGCAGTCACCTCTGGGCACATCAGAGAGGCTTGGCAAAGGCTCATTGTCCTCTCATGACTCAGCTGGTCCCCATTCTGTCATTGGAGCAGCAGCGCCCCTCCCCAGCACGTCCTGGCGAAGGGAGACGTGGAAGTAGCTGTCTTGCCCGTCCTGACACACCCCCAGGCCTGCGCTCCTATCCGGCTGCCCTCCTATTGGGCCTTCAGAGCTTTGTTTGGGAGCGGCCTTTGCGTGGAGACCACCAGCCCAGCCCTGTTAACCGTGGGCCTCAGTTATCTCATCTGTAAGAGGCACCTGAGGTGACCGTCACCCATCTTCCTTTCCCACTCAACTGCCAGCTCCAAGCCCTCTCCTCACCCAAGCCTGGGAAGGCTCTGGATCCCTGGGGTTCATTCGGGCTGGTTCAGGGAGACAGAGGGGAGAGGAAATAGATACTGTCTGGGAAGAGGGAGCAAGGGGGCCTGGACCTTTGGAAGGCGGGTTGGTGTAATGCAGATGTGACTGGTCCCTGAAGGAATGGGTCCCCCACCATGTCCTGTGAGGGTATCGCATACTCCTGGCCACCAGGGCCTGCCCTTTTCTCCAGCTCAGGGCAATCCTGTGCCATGGACCACACTGCAAAGCTCGGAGTTAAAAGCTTCATCGAGGTTGACACCAATGCACACTTGAGGCTGGCTGCCTCCTCTTCATTCCTCACATATTCATTCATTCAGTAAACATCAATTTCGTACCTTTGGTTTGCAAAATACTCAATATTGACCTCTCCCCAGACTGACTTAGTCTCTCCTGGGATTTGTGAACCTGTCTACACTCTCCAGACCACACTCACTTGAGCACATGATTCAAGGCCCTCCAGGAGGTGACCACTGCCTTCATCGCCAGCGTCACCGCTCCTGTCCTCGCTGCTGCCCTTCGTGCATGTGGAGACATGGGGTTCTCCTAACTCAGTGCGCTCTTTCCTGCTACCCTTACCTCTGCACATGCTGTTTTTCTGCTTGAATCACCTCCCTCTGCTCAAAATATCACCACATCTGTGACGCCTTTTTTGACCTTTGAGACTTCCTCGTCTGTGCATCAATGTCCTGAGAACATCTAGCTTCATCCTGCTGCTGTAAGCCAAGGGTCATAATCCAACCGCCTACTGGGCCAGGCAGGTCACATAAATGAGAATTGGGCCACCAGGGACTGTGGGTGGCCTAGGAAGTTCATGCTCTGTGCCCCAGGGAAGCTGCTGGTCAAAGTGGAAACACAGGCCCCGTGTTGCCAGACCTTCCTATTTTTAAAAGAAGCCAGGAATTTGTACTTTTATGTAAGATCTCTTAATTTCAGAAACTTTGTAAGGGCCAAACAAAACATCTGGAGCCTGGATCCCGCCCATTGGCTCTGAGTGTGTGACCGCTGCTGGACACCTGTTACCTCTCTCAAGGGAAGGGTCCTCCCTTACGCATCTCTGGGCCCCCAGGACCTAGCCCAGGGCTTACTGAGTAGCAGGCACTCTGTACACATCTTCTGAATAAATGAGTGAGTGAGTGACAGTCATTTATCTCCGAGAAGGTGCTCAGTAGATGTTAGAATAATACAAAGAAAATTCTGAGATTTTGTTCCAAATGCCTGGGACAAAACTGATAGACAACTATTGTCTGTATGACCTTGGGTGGATTACTTCTCTAAAAGCCTGAGTTTTCACATCTCTAAAAAGGGAGTGAGGAAAGTATTTGCTTCGTGTGGTAGTTATCAAGATCAAGTGAAATAATGTACAAGAAATGTTTTGCACAGTACTTGACACACAGCAAGCAATGTGTTAACTATTTTAACCATCATCATCATCATCATCATCATCATCATCATCATCATCATCATCATCAAGGGAAAGACAAAAGAAAGGAAATAAATGTAGACAGCTATCAGATTTCAATCTCTAGCCTAGACCTCTCCCCTACCTGCAGACTTGTATATTCATAGCCTCCTTGACATATCCATTTGGTGGTCAAATAGACTCTCAAATTTGGCAATTCCAAAAACAAACCTTTGATTTACCCTCAAACCAGCCCCTGTGGTCTTCCCACCTTTGTTACTGGCCACTGCATTCTTCCATTAGCTCAGCTCAAAAACCTTGGAGACAGCCTTGACTCCTCCCATTTTCTCATAACCTATATTTAATGCATCAGAAATTGAAACAGGTCTATTTTCAAAACATAACCATTTTCAAAATATACCTCCTTCTCATCACTTCCAAAACTACTTTCTGGCCCAGCCACCAACCTATGTGGCCTACACTACCGCAGCAGCCTCATGGCTGTTCTCCTTGCCTTGGCACTGTCTCCCTCATTCTGTTCTCAACCAGAATCCAAAGCTATTCTGTTAGCGTTGCATATTAGTGCACATGTTATCACGACAAATCCTCTCAGTTTTTGCTTCCCTACAAATATTTTTATTTACTTTCATTATTAAAGAATGTTTTCACTGGGCAAAGAATTCTAGTTTCAACCTTATGTCTTTAATCACTTTGAAAATACATTCCATTGTCTTCTGACTTTTGTTGTGACTTTTCATAAGTCAGCTAACTATCTGAGCTTAGTTTTCCCCCTGAGGGTAATCTGTCTTTTATTTCTGGCTGCTTTAGGATTTTCTTTGTCTTTTGGGGGTTTTTTTGGCAGTTTTATTATAATGTCTCCATAGTTTTCTTCTCATTTATATTTCTTGTGATTTGTGGTGCTTTTGAATCTGTGGCTTGAGATCTTTCATTGGCCTTGGAAAATTCTGTTATTATTTTTCTGTTTTGATACTTTCACATATTAAACATAGTTATTTTAATGTCTATGACCAATAACTATCTGGATCCTCTCGTGTTTATATCTATTGCCTATTGTTTCTCTTGGTTTTTTAAAAAATTATGTTTTATTCCCTCATATGCCTGGTTATTTTTGAGTGTCAGGCACTGTGTATGAAAAATTTTAGAGATCATTTGAGGCTTGAGGTGGTGTTATCCTCCTCTCCGGAGGGTTTACTTTGGTGCAGGTGGCTAGGGGCCTCAGAATTCCCGATCACCTTAATCCAACCAAAGACTGAGATGGCTGGAGAGGACTTGAACCTTGGAATGCTGCTTCATTCTTATTCCAAGAGTGTATCCTTAGGGGTTCCAACTAAAAGCTTGGGGGATTTAACAGGCCACCCAGCCTGGATTACTTTTTTGGGTAATACTCAAAAAAGGCCCAGGAGTGTACCAGATTCCCCATTGGTGTGCCTCGAACACTATTTTTTGACCCATTAGACTTATGAGTCTTTTAAAAACTCTGCTCTATTTCTTGGCCTTTCAGCCTCCGATTTCAGAACTAGTAGACGCCCTTTGGGGAAAAGAGGCCCCCAGATACTGTGCTCACCCCTCTGGGTTTTCCTCGCCAAGATCTTGATCCCACAATTCCTCACTGCCCTTTTAGTGCCTGAATGTCTTCAAACTAAAATATCTAAAAATATTTTGTCCAGCTTTCCTAGTCCTCAGCAGTAGAGTGATCCTGAATTACGTAGTCTGCCGTGACTGGAAGGGAGTTAGACTTTAAAAGCCCAGGATGAAACTTCTAATACATCGGGTCATTTTCCTCCTCTACTCAAAACTCTCCCCTGGCTCTCATCTCACTCACAATAAAAGGCCAAGTCCCTACAAAGCTACCAGACCTGACATGATTGTCTTGCTGATATGCCTCTGGCCACATCTTCTGCCACTCTTCCCCTCACTCATTCTTCCAGCCACGCTGGCCTCGGCACTCCTTCCAGCGGAGGCAGAGCTCCCTCTTGTTTCAGGGACCCGTGATCTTCCTTCAGATCTCCGCAGGGCTGGCTCCCTCATTCCTCCAGCTCTCTGTTCAAGAGCCATCCATCAGCGGACCATTCCCTGACCACCAGCCCCCTTAAACTAGCAGCCCCCTGCCCCAACCCTGGCCATCCCTTAACTTTTCTCTGCCTTATTTCTCGACACAGCACCTATCACCACCTGACATTTACCGATTTGTGTATGGTCTCTCTCCCCACTAGAACGTAAGGCCTCAAGGGCAGGGACCTTGTCTGTCTTGTGCACTGCCAGATCTCCTGGAGTGGGTACTCAATAAATGTGATGAACAAATGAAAGAATTTTGAAGGCTCTAGACAATTCCCCTCCTTTCTGGGTGAGTTCTGGGCCCAAGCTAGGGGGAAGTGATTCCTTTCTGCTCAACCAACCTCTTTCTCTTCCACATGAGGCAACTTCCCTTAGCGACTTTCCAGTAACACACATGGTGTGCACAAGAAATAAAATGTATAAAAGTGCTTTGTAAGCCAGGAGCAAGGTAAGGGTCCTGGCTGTCCAAGACCTGCTATCCTGGGGCTCTGCTCTTGGGATCACAGCTGTAACTCTGGAAAAGACAACGGTGGGAAAATCTGCTCAGGGACTCCACTCTGAGCCCATCCTCCCACCACTTCCCCCCACATTTCCTCTCTCCCATCCGAGGGAGAATTCCCCCTGGCGTGGGCCTCTAATAAGGAGAATGGGGCAGAGGGTGATTCATGGGGAAGTCTGTAGGGCCGCTTGGGGCTTATGACTCACAGCTTCTCATCTAATAGGAGGATTAGATATCCATACTGAATCTTCCGGAAATCTCCTTTGCTAAGGTCTGTAGTGACCATTGGAGATTCTGCCCCACAGAGCTCTCAATAGCACCTTCCTGGCACTTGTCACTTTGTGTAGATGTGTGTCTGTTGCTCAACAAGTACATACGGAACAGAAAAAGCAGGGGAGGCAAGGAGTGAGGGGGGAGGAGGGAGGGAGGCAGGGGAGAGGGCATCTGCCTCCCCCTCCAGACTGTGAGCCACTGAGGGAAGACCATGCCCTTTTCATTTCTGTGTCCCCAGCCTCCAGCACAAGGCTCAGAGTATAGCTGGGGAAGTGAATGTTTCAATAAATGAAGAAATATCTGGGAGGGTCTCGAGGGACCTCATTCTAGGATACTGCCAGCCTGACAGAGCCGCAAGGCAGTGGCAGACGGGGATTGTCAGAGCCAGCCGGGTTGGGGCTGGGTGTCCACTGTGGATGACACTCGAGAGGCTAGGGCAATGGGGCCTGGTCGAGACAGGGGCTCTAAGCCACAGTCTGGTCATGAACCAGCCCCTGCTGAGCTGTACCTGGTGCTGGCCCTGTGCTGGACACTGGACACACAGGGAGGGAGCAGACACGGTCCCTGACCTGCCTCTCCCAGCAAGCGGTGGAGACTGATGGGTTGACCCAGGATGTTAGTGCAGTGGTCTGGGAGCTGTCATGAGGTGTGGGCAGGGCAAGAGGGTGGGAAGATGCAGGGAAGGGTGGGGAGAGGGGAGAACAAGGAGGAAAGGCTTTCTGCCGGGGATGACCCTTGAGCCCTAAAAGTCTGGGGACATGGCTCAGAAAGGACTCCTGTCCTCAAGATGATGAGGAATGGTCTGAAGCCATTTACTGTTGTTCAAGAGATTTTATGGAAGGAAGAAAGGCCCAGGACTTGTCCCAGGCCCGGCCTACTTGCCGGAGGGGTGAACTCCCCAGAGCCCTCGTGAGAGTCCCTGTGCTTGTCCTGCTCTTATGCAAAATGGACCAGCGCCCTGTGCCTCCTAAGGTGGGCATTTCAAAGTGTGGGCACTGTGGTGCCCTGAGCAAGGCCAAGAAACGACCCCAGGGAAGAAGGACTGAAAAGCACTAGCCGGACCCTGGCCCCAGCTTCTCTCATATTGTCACTGGATGGATGGTTTAGGCTGTGCTCTGTCCCTGCAGGCAGAGGAAGGGTCTACTCCACTCCTAGCTGCTTCCCTGGTGTGCAGAGCCCTGCAGCCTTGGAAGGGCAAGGCCTGGGGTCCCACTCAGGCCATTGTTCCTCCTATTGTAAAGTCTACAAGAGACTGGGGGTGACTTTATTTCTAATGTCTCTGGCCAGACTAGTGACCAGTAGAGCTGTGATAGCTCAGAGTGGGAGAAGAAAGATAAGGGAAGTCTCTTTTATTGAGCACCTACCATGACAATTTGCTTTAGATGTGTGGTTTATTTCATGCTCCCATCTGGCCTCTTTGGCAGGGCTTACTATTATTGCCATGTCATGAGGCATGGTCACTGAGGCCTGGAAAAGTAGTGGATTCACCTAGAGACACGAGCTGGGCTGAACTCAGTCTGGTCTGAGGCCCAAGTCTGGCGGGGTCTTTCTACTGCACCAGGCCACACAAGGGTGAGTCTTGCCCACACTCTGGGGCCCACCACCCCTCTTTAAGATCAGGGAAGATGAAAAGTGCTGATGATGGCTACTAGATGAGGCTTCCCCCCAAGGGCTCCTGGGAAGGGGGTTTATGTATTCTTGTGTCCTCAGTACCTTCAATAAATTCACAGACCATGATTAAACTGACTGTGTAGGGCATAGATGGCTGGTTGCCCCCAGTATCTGTTCTTTCTTTCTTTCTTAATAATAGATTTTTAGCCAGTATGTGGCCTACATTTCCCAGTCTCCCTTGCAGCCAGATGTGGCTATTTGAATAAGTCAGGCTTAGGGTATGTGTAACTTCCAGAGTGTGTCCTCAAAGAGAGGGAGAATGCTTTTCTGCCCCCTTTCATCCTTCTTGTTGTCTGGAATACAGATGTGATGGCTGGAGCTGAGGAAGCCATTTTGAACCATGAAGTAATGCTTAGAATGATGGCAAAGCAGCAAGATAGGAGTCTGGGTCCCTGAGGACTCTTGGGGGATAATTCTCCATGGCATTTTTATACCTTTTAGGACACCTTTTGTCTGGAGTCATTTTTTTTCAAGAATGTTTGTATGGCAAATAGCCTGGGGGTAGAGAGATAGTGTCTCCTTCTGGAACAGAGAACAGATGTCTCCCGACCAGGAAAATAAACATAATGTCTTTCTCCAGGGCAGATGTTGGCTACATTTGCTAGCAGTCTCTTAGAAGGAGTTTCCCAAACTCAGTGTGTCTCAATTCTGACACAAACCCACTGTGTGCACAGCATCCACCTGGACCTTCCTCACTGGCATCACTGGGGGACAAGGGGAACCAGTGAAGCATGAACCACATGCTGCCTGCCGTGCTGTGAGTAACAAAGTCCATTGTCTCTGACCCTGGAGCCTCGTGTCTTCTGCAAGCATCTACGGAACGGCGGTAGGCTCACTTGTTAGTTTGCAAATAGGAAAAGAATCTCAGACCCTTAGTGCTTCTGACAAGGACTTCACGGAACAGAGCATGATCATCAGCCCTAGTGGGCTTTTTTTTTTTCTGTTTTCTAACTTTATTGAGATAAAATTTACCTCAATAAATGTATCTATTTTAAGCTTACTATTTAATAAGTTTTGACAAATTTATACAGTTTTACATATCCATGAATTTTGACAAATGTGTACAGAATGTATTATAGCTACCAACACATCCAAGATATAGAGCACATCCATCATCAAAAAATTCCCTCCTCCCCATCAATCCCTACTCCCTAGCTCAGCTGACCGGGGATATGCTTTTTGTCACCACGGATTAAATTTGTGATTTCCAGAGTTTCACATAAACGGAATCATATAGTACTCTTTCTGTTGTGCCCAGCTTCTTTCAATCAGGATAACTTTTTTAGATTAACCCATGTTGTGTGTATCAGTAGTTTCTAAAAAAATTTTTAATAGATTTTATTTTTTAGAGCAGTTTTAAGTTCACAGACAAATTAAGTGGAAAGCACAGAGAGTTCCCCCATACCTCCTGTCCCCACACAGGCACAGCCTCCCCCACTATCAACATCCCCGCCGGAACGGGACGTTTGTTACAGCTGCTGAACCTACATTAACGCATGATTATCACTCACAGTCCATAGTTTACATTAGGGTCACTCTGGGTGTTGTACATTCACTGGTTCTGGACAAATGTATAATGACATGGTCCACCATCACAGTATCATACAGAATAGTTTCACGGCCTTAAAAATCCTCTACACTCCACCTAGTCATTCCTCCCTCCCCCCCAACCCTTGGAAACCACTGATCTTTTTACTGTCTCCATAGTTTTACCTTTTCTAGAATGTCCTTTATGATTAGACAGTATGTAGACTTTTCAGATTGGCTTCTTTCTCTTAGTAATATGCATGTAAGTTTCCTCCATGTCTGTTCCTGGCTTGATAGCTCATTTCCTTTTAGCACTGAATCATATTCCATTGTCTGGATGCACGACAGTTTATTAATCCACTTACCTACTTAAGGACATCTTGGTTGGTTCCAAGTTTTGGCAATTATGAATAAATAGTTAGAAATATAATTCATAAATAAATATTATAAATACTTATGAATAAAGCTGCTATAAATATCCACGTATAGGTTTTTGTGGACATAAATTTTCTGCTTCTTTGGGTAAATAGCAAGAAGTGGGAATGCTGGATTATATTGTAACAGCATTTTAGTTTTGTAAGAAACTCCCAGCTGTCTTCCAGAGTGGCAGGACCATTCTGCGTTCCCACCAGCAACGTACGGGAGGTCCTGTTGCTCCGGATCCTCGCCAACATCTGGTGTCGTCAGTATTTTGGATTTTGGCCATTCTAACAGGCACATAGTGGTATCTTGTTTTAACTTGCAGTTCCCTAATGACATAAAATGTTGAGCATCTTTCATACGCACATTTGCCGTCTTTATATCTTCTTTGATGAGGTGTTTATTCAGGTCTTTTGCCCATTTAAATAGTCAGGTTGTTTGTTTTCTTATTGTTGAGTTTTAAGAGTTTTTTCGTATATTTTAGATAACAGTCCTTTATCAGATATGTCTTTTGCATGTATTTTCTCCCTGTCTGTGGCTTGTCTTCTCTTTCCCTTGAATCTGGTGGGCTTTTTTGTGGGAGAGAAAACTATATTTCTATATCCCTATGTTGTTTAAGCCACTGTTATGCTGGGCTTTTCTTGTGACTGAACCTAATTCTAAATAATACATCAAGATGCACTTCCGCTTAGAACCTTCCAGTGGCTTCCCATCACCCCCAGAATAAAGCCTAACTCTTTCTGTGGCTTTCACGGGCTCAGTTAGCCTGGTGCCTGGCAAAGTCGTTAAGAACAAGGCCTTGGAAGCCAGGGTGCGAATTCTGGTGGCGTTGCTTCCTACGTCGTGACCTTGGAGAAGTTATTAACTTCTTGGTGCCTCAGGGTCCTCAGCCTATGATGGATTAATAACAGAACTACCGGGGCCGGCCTGGTGGCCTAGCAGTTAAGTTCGCACATTCTGCTTCGGCGGCCCACGGTTCGCCGGTTCGGACCCTGAGCTCGGACCTACTCACCGCTCATCAAGCCGTGCTGAGGCGGCGTCCCACAGAGAAGAGCTACAACTCTACAGTTATGTTACACAACTATGTACTGGGGCTTTGGGGAGAAAAAAGAGGAAGATTGGCAAGAGATGTCAGCTCAGGGCCAATCTTCCTCATCAAGCTGTTGGGAGGGCCGAGTGAGTTACTACAGCAAACACAGTGTCCGGCACATGGCCAGTACTCAGCCCACATCGCCCGGGCCTGGGGCCTCTTCTGCTGCCGCTGCAATGGGCCTGCAATGGACCGCAGTGACCTTCCCTCCTTTTCAGCATGTGGAGCTTGCTCCACTGCAGAGGATTCGCTCCTCTCCCTCTGCCTGGACTCCAGCCCCACACCCAGCAAACACACACCACACACACTCGCGCGTGCTCCAATACATACACTCACCCCGCACACTCACACATTCATGCACTCACAAACGTGCAGCACACTCACACACACCCGCACACATATACATATCCACACTCAGATACACAGCTCGCACACACACTCCTGCTCACACTCGCATTCATGAGCACTCACACACACATTCACATGCACCACCACACACTCCCCGTCGCGAGGCTGGCTTCTCCCCTCCTCCAGACGTCCTGCCTGCCCACCTGTTCCAACGCAGCCCCTCCCTCCGTTTCTCCACCTTTGCTCCTGGTTGGCGGACTCCACGCCTCGCCCCACACAGCTGCTCCCAGGCAGCCCACCGTCAGGCAGCAGAGGGATGCCCAGGCACAGTCCCGGCTTCCACTCTAGGGTGACGGTGTTGCTCCCCTCCTGCCCTGCAGGCACCTGTTGTCGGGCAGGGGCCATCGAGCTTGATCACGGTTGCCTCCCCAGCCCGAGCACGGCTCTGGAACACAGTAGGTGCTCCAGAGGTATTTTGGGGGATGAACGAACGAGTGAATGAACAGGACCACAGGGCGTGTGACCAGGAGGGCCCTCTGTGCAAACCGCCTGTTGTGGGAGCCGAGGCTGAGTGACGGGCAAGGACCCGGCCCAGGTCGGAGCGTGAAGGGGCGCCTGCCTGGGACTCGGCTTCCTGCCTCCGTGCTCCGGTCTTGTCACACCCTGGCCAGCAGTTCTTTCTCGCTTTTCCACAGGGACAAGGAGGTGGCCTCTGCTCCTTGGTGTGCTGGTTCCCGAACCCACTCTTCCGCTTCCGCTCCCTCACAGGAAGCAGGCAAGGGGGGGGCAGCCCCGGGGGCACAGGCAACGTTTCTGCTCCAGCTCGTGGTCGTGGCCCCAGGTGTGCTGGCCCCAGCCCGGCCCCTCTCCCTGGGCACAGCCCCTTTCCGCCTGCTCCCACCTTCCGCCAGGGCTGGGAGGCTGAGGCCGCGAGGCTGCGCAGGAACCTGGAGCCCCCACTAGTGCTCCCCACGTGTCCTCCTTCTCTGTTGGCCTCGGATTCTCACCGACTTGATGGGAGGCGGGTCGGGGCAGATATCAAATCTGGGGAATAGTAGGTAGTTTGAAAACAGTTTGAAAATGCATAGTCAGCCTTCCTTTTATTTTGTTTTTTTAACCCCAAATACAAACAGCAAAAAGCAAGTTTGACAAAAATCTTGGGGGTGGGGTGGGGGTTGTGGAGAAATGGAGGCAAAGGTGTTAAAGATTTGGAAACACTGCCTTAAGAACATGGAGACATTTGACCAGTGGAAATGAGATGCTTGGTGTGAGTGTGTGCGGCTGCTGTGTGTGCTGAAGCGTGCACGGGTGTAGGTGGGCAGGGAGGGAGAGCTGCGTGTCCCTGTTGTGTGCGCACTGCTGAGGCCCGTGTGACTGTCTAGGTCTGAACGTGTGCGATGTGCTGTCTTGTCTGGATGGAGGGCAAGGACATGCCATGGGGCGGAGGAAGGGACATCTCCGGGTGGACGGCTAGGGTAGTCCTGGCCTGACAGCTGGCCTGAGGATGCTGAGTGAGAGCCCGCCTTTTCTGTGTCCGCTGACCTCGGTCGGCCAGACCAGCGGAGCTCATGGTCATTTAAGGTGCTGGCCCGGTCAGGCAGCCGTTTGGGTGGCAGGCCACCCAGGGCCGAGATGGTGCAGGCCTTCCAGGGGGCCCTGGGAGCTATTTTTAGTGGCCTGGGCTGACTCCCAAATTCTGCTGACTGTTTCTGGCACCAGAAGACTGCCCTGAAGGATGTGGAAAATTTTCATGTTAACTATGTCTGATTTTCCTCTGCCTATGCAAGGGCAGAGTGCAGAGACCAGGACAAAGGGCTCGAGGCCCAAGGGCTTCTGGGAAAATTCACCAGCATGAGAGCACGAAATGCCATCTTTCTGCTCTCTGGAGACGCAGGGACTTGTAAAAACACCAGCGTCATTATGGTGACCATCGTCCTGGTTTGCCTGTGGTGTCCCGGTTTGGCACTGAGAGCCTGGCATCCAGGACGCCCTTCGGACCCAGGCAAACTGGGATAGCCGGTCACTTGAGCTCCACTTCTGCTCCTTTTAGTTCTAGAAGTGAAATTCGTAAGAATAAGAATTGAACTACCTGCCTCACCTTCCAGAATGTTCACCATCATCCTCTGCAGTAGGTGCCGTCATCATCTCCATTTTACACTTGAAGAAACTGAGGCACAGAGAGGGGAACCAACTCGCCTCCTGCAGAACAGCTCGTGAGCGGTGGAGCCAGGATTCGAACTAGGCTGCTCCGGAACCGGAGGCCCCCATTCCACAGGCATGGAAAAAAAGTGAATTTGGACCCAGGAAAACCTGAGTTCAGTCACTTCCTAGACAGACACCTAACTTGGGATAAAGAATATCGATTTACCCAGAGCGTCCTGAGGGTTAAATGAGAAGGCAGCATTGCACGAAGCCTGACACTAGTGGGTGCCCAGAGGCATGACTCCGTTCCCCACTGCTCCGCCCGGCAAGACCGGCTGTGTGAATCCGCCCGTCTCAGTTGTCCAGAGGCCGCCCCTCGCCGGCTGCACTGCGCGGCACCTGGGTACCAGCAGCCCCCGATTGCTGCTTCTGGGGCGCCCTTGCCAGGCAGTGAGGGAGGAAAGCAACACCGTGAAGGGAGAGAGACCGGGGCCGTGCGCCCCACCAGTCCCACTTCTCCGCCACGCGCCCTGATCGCCCTCCTTCGCCTCCACTGTTCCCAGCTGTGGAATGGGCCAGTGAGCCCGCCCGCGGGGCGGGGGTGGGAGATCACGTGGGACCTGCCCCTCCCCCCCACCAGGTCCCCCTCCGCAGGCAGGTCCGGAGCCCCGGGCGCAGTGCGGACGTGCGTGCGGCCGCGGGCACGAATGGAATGCGCTGGGCCCGGGGGACGCGCTGTTCCTTCCGCAGGCCGCGCGTCAGCGGGGCAGGAAGGGCCGGTCGGCTTCGCGTTCCCACCGCCCCCTCCGGGCTGGGGAAGTGGCCGAACAATAGGGCCGCCCGGAGGGACCGTGCCGGGGTGTGGGTGTGTGTACGTGTACCCCGGGAGGAGTTGAGAGACAGAACAGGAGAAAAGAGAGAGGACCCCTCACTGGGTTTACCCAGTGTCGGGCCCTGGCCGCATTATCTCATTTAGTCCCCAAAGCCACCCTGGGAGGGAGGCGCTCGCATCCTCAGTGTACAGGAAACAGGGGCAGAGGGGCCCTCCAGGGGCAAACCCAATGTGTGCATCGCTTAGAGAAGGCCCTGCTAGCTTCTGCCATCTTCCAGCACTGGGTTTGCGACTGAGGCTGGGGCCGGGGGAGAGGCTGGGAAACCTTGCTGCACGCCCTGGTTCTGCAGTTAACAGAAAGCATGCACGCACACAGCTTCTGATAAGAGAACCGAGCTCTCCCACAGGCCAGAATAAGGCTGTGAATTCACCAGCGTCCCCGTCTGGCAGGTGGGGGACAGGGGCTCAGACTAATGTGCCTACCTGTCCTGCAAGCACATATTTATTGTCCCCAAAAGGATTTAAGCTCCTAAAGAAGGGGAAACAATCAGAATTAATTCTACCTTTCCTATGTAAATGGTACCTACCTCAGGATAATCAAATGGTTGATGAGGGAAAGTTTCTATTTATAGACTTATACCTGCTTAAAAATGTAGATGGAATGATAGAATTAGAGACATAATTGTGCAACCTTTAATGCAGGGACTGGGCGGCGACAGCTGCTCTCGGCACAGGAAGACAGTCTGAGCCTCCTGAGGGGCTCACCCCTCATGCGCCACCCGTGAAGTGTTCTTGCCGCAAACTCAACCCAGAATCTCATCAAGCCGCTACGTCTGAACAGTTTACAGGAACTACAGGGGACAGAGGAACATTCTAAGTGGCACCTCAGGGAAGCAGTTGGCCAACTTCAGATGCAGGTAACTCTGCAGATAAACAGCTGGTTTCTTCTACAAATACATTGCAAGAAGAGAGAGAGACAGAAACAGAAACAACAGACAAATAAGTAAATAAATGTTGGGGGAATCGATCAAGTAAAGATTTGGAGACATACCAACCAATCACCAGATGTAGATCTCATTTAGGATTCTGATCTAAACAAATTGTAAAACAGGAAAAAAAAAAAACCTTCATATAAATGAAAACCATTTATGAAATAGGAAATTGGAACAGATGCCGGAGAATTGCCCAGCTGGGGGCCGTAATCACCGGGGACCCGGTGCTCCCAGATGGGAGTCTTGGGGCCAGGCAGCTTTGAGATTCCTGCCTTTGGGTAAAGTAGGAACTGCCCCAGGACACTGATCCCTGCCGCCTCCTCCCCGAGGGCGCTCCTGGTGGACAGGCGCTCACTGGGGTTGTGCAAGGAGAGAGAGGGGGGAGGGAGAGATCATTTTCTCTCTTCCGTCCTCTGCCCTCAGGGTCATCTTTTTTTAGTGCATGCATCCTGTAGGTAGCCAGGATCTGGCCTTTTTGTGCTGTCTGCCCAGAACCCGGTGTTTAAAATTAGACCCCTTGAGCCAGTGGGTGCTGTGATCCTGCTCCCTGGGAAACGGCGTAAACAACACGCCCCAGTTGCTGGGACATAGAGCATGTGTCCGAATCCGGGGCGGCCCAGGATGGCGAGGCCCACCCTTCTGAGGACAGCCCCTCTGGCCCGGATCACGGTGGTGGGCACTGGCAGCTCTGTTCTCTTCTCCGGGTGGTCTTTCCATTTTAAAGATGGGGAAATGGAGTTGCCATGAGCCTTGCCCCAGGTCAAGCAGCAAATTTTTATTACTATTAATTCATACATATCAGCTTTAAAAATTCTTATTTAAAATGGTTTGCTTTCATTTCAACAGGTTAAGTCATGTCCCCGGGGCAAGATTCCAGAGTACCCAAGGATCTGATCTGTGATAAGTGACTTCTTCCCACACCTGTCCCCACTCTCCTAGCTCTCCATTCGAGGAACTGATATTATCAGTGTCTCCCGTGTCCTCGCAGAGATGGTCTGGCCAGCCTTTCTCAGTGGGGTTCTACGAGAGAACTAGGTCTTAAGGCCCCACGGGATCGGTGCGTGTAAGGAATTAGCCTCTCTCCTCTGCATCCCAAGTGGTACCAGTTATGAACCATCTTCCAGTGAACTGAGAATTTGTCCCTTGTGTCATCCTCTGTGTTCTGTGCCAGATCCTGACCGCTAGCTGGTCAATTAAACAAACTGTTCCATACCTTTCTTTTTCCCTTAATTTATCTTGGAGATGGCATATTCTTAGCATGCCAAGAGCTGCCTCTGTTACGGCTGTGTGGTACCCCACTGTGGATGCGTGTAGTCAGTAATCTGCCTCCTCTGATGGGCATGTAGGTCGTTTCAGTCTTTTGCTTCTATACATGATGCTTCAGTGTGTATTCTTATGCACGTATGTGAGATAAGTTCCTAGAGGAACAGACCTTGCTGATTTGTGTCAGGGCTGGTCCTACTGCCCAGGCTTCTGGGACAAGGACAAAAAGGTTTTGCAACCAGTCTGGAAGGAACCTGGCCTGGATCTGCAAATAGTCTGGAAGTTAGAGGTGGGGAACAAGAATTGCAGATGTTCAAGGAAGGGAATGAACAGTTATTGTGGGCCTACTACATGTTAGGCACCTCCATGTTGCCTTATTTAATTCTCACGGCAGCTCTGTGAGGTAGGTACCTATTCCCAGTTTGCTGCAGAAGCTCAGAGAGGTTAAGTCACTTGCCTGGAGGCACACAGTGGCTAAGTGGCAAAACTGTGAGTCTGACTCCACAGCCTGTGCCCTTTCTGCTCTACCACCTGATGGAGGAGGTGGCAAATGTTTCCAGAATGGCCAGGGGTCAGGCTGGCACGTCGCCCACCTCCAGAGGGTATTATTCACGTCGCAGTCTGTGTGCTTGGCATCCCCGGCACTGTGCAGTGCACAGTCTGTGCGGCCACCACTGGGGCGCCTGTGCCCTGCTCTCAACAACAACAAAATCACTCAAAACATCGCTGCCTTTAAGAACATGCAACAGCAAACCAGTTGATTCATAAATTCTTTCTCTTGTGTGTTCATTAAGAAGTTATTAGTAGATACTGAGAACATCAAAGTTGAGGAAGGCTGTTTTCCACCTTCCAGGGGCTCTCAGTCCCTGTGATTTAGAAGTACCTCGTGATCAAGGAAGAGGATTGGACTGACCCTGTTGGGCTGAGGATCAGGGAAGGCTTCTTGGAGGACGGGGCAGTTGGCTGGGCCCTGAAGGATGAGTAGGAGTTCGCAGTGGGAGAGGGTGAAGCAGGGAGTGAGAGTGGAGGAAGGGCATATCGAGCAGAGGGAACAGCCAGCAGAAGGCACGAGTGTGAAATAAACTGGCCTATCAGGAACTGTGGGTGGTTCCCTGTGACCTGGGTGCAGGGAGTATGGAGGAAGTGGGGAGCAGGCCGGGGGCCCTGGGAGGGGATTAAAACACACAGACACACGCACGCGTGTGTGCAGTGGGCAAAGAAGGGACTGGAGCCCGAGACTTGGGCGTACATCCTGATCCCCACTGTGTGACCTTGGGCAAGGCCCTCCCCCACTCTGGGCTTCCTGTCTCCGCGTTGGGGGAGGGGAAGGGTTGGGGTCCATGAAGGGGTCGCTGGTTGGGATGGTGTGTGCTGAGCACTGAGCACACTGCTCATTCGGCTGTCCTTAGCAATGGCTATGCACCTCATTTGCCGTGACCCACCCTCCTGGGGTCAGGCCCAGCCAGTCAACCTGGGGACTCCTGGGGTGTGGACAGGGGCCTGGGTGGGGCGCTGGGAGCCCGGCATGGAGGCCCTCCTGGGGGCCAGGCCCGCGTGCCCCAGGCTGTGGTCTCATTACCTCTCGCCGGAGCCGGCGCCCCATTCCGTCTCACAGAGGAGGGGCCCCAGGGCCCCAGCGGGCATGGGGAAGGGGGTCTCAAGCCCACAGCATCTCCTGCAGAGTCTGGGTTCTTTCTAGTCTTCATCTGTCCTTCGCTGGTTTCTTTATCTCCACTTCAGTGGTGACAAAGTGGGGCAGGGACCAGGTTTGCTGCCCGCCTTGGTGTCAGTGCTTTCCAAGCTTGAGTAAAAGTAGTGTCTTCCAGTCAAACCCGGCACTGTGTGCTCTAGTGGTCGACTCTTCCAGCCCTCCATACCTGTAAACAGGCTCTTCCCTCTGCCTGGAATGTGCCGATTCCTCTCTGTCTACCTGGCAAACTCCTGTGCATCCATCAAAACCCAGATTAACCAGCACCTTCTCCTGGAAGCTGTTCGAGACTTTGTCCTAAACGGAACCAATCCCTCCTCCCTCTGGACCACCTAAGCCCCACATAACGTCCTTCCTGGGTGCCCCCTCTACAGGTGGTTGTGATTACATGTGGGCCTGTCTGTCTCCCAGCTAGATGATTAGTAATCTAAGGGCAGAGGCTGTTCTTGCTTATTTCTGGACTCTCAGCTCTGGCTGCAAGGCCTAGTACATAGTAAGTGCTCAGGAAAGCCTGAATTTAACTGGAATATGTTTGATTTATAAAACTAGATAATGTTTATTGAGCCTGTACTGTGTACAGCACTGTACTAAGTACTTCCCACAACAACCTCATGACATTGGGTTGTTATCATCCCCACTTTACTGAAGAGGAAACTGAGACTCAGAGAGGGTAAGTAACTAGCTCAAGGCCACACAGCCCATAAGTAGCATAGCCAGAGCTTATTCAGTGCTGAAGTCCCCAGTTCTAACTTACATATTGCTACTTCTCAAACCAGCATGAGATGATTTGAACTAGTACTTGGATTAGCTTTTTTTTTTTAAATAACTGAGTATTTATTTTAAAATGTATTAGGAAAAAAAATAACTAGTGTGTCAAACTCATTTGTTCCTGGGAAACTTTTATTCTTATAATTTCACTTTTCATCTTTAGTCTTAAGACCATGTTCACTTGTTCATTTAAAAACCTTCAATAGTTGTGTGTTTATGTTAATGTGTATTAGAAAAAAAGTCATGCATTAAATTCACGACCTTTGTGATACAATTTCCTTTTAAAAAATAAGTTCTTTAAGTAAAAATAACAATTGATTTAAATGAAAATTTCAAGTAAAAACAGTGAACATATTGAAAAAACCCCTACAGTGATGCCAGAATGAGAGGGACTCTTGCCCACGCCCTGTTGGCCTCCTGGAGACAGTGGAAAAGGTGGAGGACAGAGGGAGCCTGACCCTTGAGGAGACTGAAGGCTGTCCTAGTCCCAGCCTTCCCCACACCCACCACCTGTCCTCCTCCCAATGGCCAGAGTGACCTTTGAAAAATGTAAGCCACATCCCATTCCTCTCTCGTGAACCCCTTTAATGGCTTCCCAAAGCATTTAAGAGAAAGCAAACTCTTCCCAAGGCTGAGAAGGCCCTCTATAACCCGCCTGCTCCAACCTATTTTCTCTTCTTCCTCACTGGCTGTCAGGTGGGGATCATGTTAGCCTCATTGCTATTTCTGCCTCAGGGCCTTTGCACATGCTGTTTCCTCCATTTAGACCATTCTTTTTCCAGATCTTCACACAGATGTCTCTTTCTCAGCCACCTCCCCAGAGAAGCCGCTCTCCCCACCCCTCACAAGTAGCTCTTCTAAGTACCCACAGTCACCTCACGCTGGTTCGTTTATCTGAACAGCACCTCTAACACTAACTAGATTTTTTTCTTTCTTTTTAAAAAAAGTTGTGTATTTTTTGTTGTTCGATTAGAGCAAGAACTCTGTCTTGTCACTGCCATGTCACCAGAATAGTGTCTGGCAGTAACAGATGCTCCATAAATCTCTGTTGGCCCCATGTGTGTGTGAGTGGTGGCTGAGGGGGCTGGGGAACGGGTTTCATCAAGCTCCTGCGTCCACAGCTGGGAGGCGAGCTTCTCCCGAAACAGCTCAGAGGTTTGAGGGCCTCCAGCTGAACAGTCCAGGCAGCTGAGACCAGAAATGCACACGGGCTTAGTCACCCTTGGAGCCTGGTAACGCTGGCACCAAACGCACTCCCCAACCAAACACAGCACAACACTGCGGGCCTCGAGTCTCCAGGGCCCCAGGTGGCAGCTCTGGCATTCGGGAGCTGGCGGCAGCTGAGCGGTGTGGGTGAGGGGCTGGGGTGGGGGCGGGGGGCTCGGGATGAGCTAGGCCGAGGGCCACAGATAGGGCTGCCCAGCCTAGGGACAGGCAGCGGTCAGGGGGGTTTCTGAGCACAAACTTTGAGAAAAGTTGCCCTGAAGAATGAGCTCAAAGCTGTTGAAACAGAAAAATTCCACTCATAAACCGCAGCAGACCACTCGGTTGTGAAGTCCATTTCCATGACACTTTGCGTGTTTGAAAGGGGACATTCTCTCCTTTCTTTTTCGGTTTATAACAGCTTTATTGAAACATCGTTCACATCCCATATAAGTCACCCATTTAAAATGTACGACCCAGCGGTTTTCAGTATATTCAGTTGGGCAACCATCACCACAATCAGTCTGAGAGTGTTTCCATACCCCAAAGAGAAGGCCCCTCCCCACTAGCTGTCCCTCCCCCCGAGCCCCCTCCCCAGCAGCACTGGGCAACTGTGAGTCTACTTCCTGTTTCTATAGATTTTTCCCTTCTGGACACAACATAAATAGGGTCAGATGTGCTCTTCTGGGCTGCCTTCTTTCACGTAGCATGATGTTTTCCAGGTTCGCTCATGTTCTAGCATGTGTCAGTACTTCATTTCTTTTTATGGCCAAATAATATTCCATTGTATGGATATGCCACATTTAATTTATTCCTTCGTTGGTTTATGGATATTTGGGTGGTTTCTATTTTGGGGGTATTATGAATAATGCTGCTATGAACCTTCAACGAGTCTTATGTGGACGTATGTTTTCATTTCTCTTGGGTATATATCTAGGAGTGCAATCTACTTTCTTCTAAAAGGAAAAAAACCCCCCCAAATCAAAATATGTATAGTGTGGAGTGGATTTAAAATGTCTCTTGTCGCCATGATAGAAGAAGTGAACTTCATGGCGTGGGGGCCACAGCTGTGCCCGGCACGTACTAGAAGCTCGGTGAGTATTTTTGAACGAATGCCCAAATTCTTACTCATTCTGGTATTCCTAGTAAAAAGGCCTGAGGGTAGAAATTCGACAAAAATGGGTCTCCACTCATTCATTCAATAAATAGAGTAGCACACAGTAGTTCGTTAGATTAGTTGCCAGTTGACTTTAATCAACTGTTGCGAGTTTCTTGGACAGAGATGGAGAAGCCTTGACCCCTGTGTGAGGAGCTCAGTCTAGAAGGGCAAGCAGACGAGGAATGCCAGCATCCTGGCGCAGGAGGGGAAACAGGACTCTCTCCTGCCCCTCTCACTTCAGCTGTTTCCTCCTTGAG